ATAGACATTCCACTTGATCGCTTCAACCACAGGAGGAGAACGGGTTAGGCATCCTTAGGTACTCATGTCATGCGCTTGAGTTCTGAACCCTTCTTACACTTTCTTCCACATTCCTTCTGATTTCAATCACCAATTTCTTTTTATATTACTTAGTAGCTGATTGTTGCTTGCTTATGTGTCAGCAGTTTGTCTTCCTACTGGTGTGTTGTTGTATATCGGCTGTTCAATGGTGACTGTTTCCCTTTGTCCAAGCATTGAACCACTCCTTTTCCCCCTTACCCCTACACACGCACCACGTTCGGCACGATACTAAGTGGACCTTGGTGGAGTTGACGGACCTACTAAGATGGTATCCGGAGCCGCTCTGCTCTGTGTTCCACCGCCTTCTCGTTGCCGTTCCCCTTCCCCAGCTCCTCCCTCTTACTTCCTTGGTCTACAACGTGTCCCATAACTACGTTTGTTCTGCTCTGCTACTAACCGATTATTAAGCATTATCATAATCCCATCTGACACGCCCCTTCGCCCGCACCGAACCAGACTGTAGCCCTCACACGGCGCAAAAGCTTGCAGCGAGGACTATTGTGGCTACCCACTCAGTGTAGGGTTCGGAATATCAAAATACCGGTCCACGATCTGCTTGGTCCCTATTCTGATCGACTATATAAGGGTCCAGATTAAGCACGTACCAAAGGTGCATAGAACACTGTATCCTTTTTTGACAGAACCTTGTACGTAACCGTCTTTGGTCATAAGCACACTGTTGGTCAACCGCCGACGTTTACGGCTCGTGTGTGGTGGTGTGTTCGGCATTAGGTGCCCAGTGAGAAGAAGGAACTTCCTGAAATCGATTTTGTTGGATAATTTACAACAAATCAAGATTAGTGATGGCTATTTGTACAGTAGTTTAGTAAGGAGGAGGTGTGTAGGACGACAGGCTGGATATGGGAGCCTGGGCAGTTCAATTTCACTGTCTACAGCGTTGCATGAGACGAGCCTGTACAGATTTCTCCCGGTACATCTGTTTTCCTTTATCATCTCACTCTCACCATTCGTTATAAAAATAATTAGTGGAGGTCCTTACCCCACCCCCCCCCCCCTCTCACCCCACTTTAGTAAGTTGATAGAGATGAACGAGAGAGGCATAAGCAGTGGGCGGAGTATTGCCTTCGTCGTGAAGGCCTAGCGTCCTTATTACCCACTCTGTTTAAAAGCAGCATAGAACAGAAATCTGACCAGTGTTCCATTACTTGTCCCATAGTATTTCCATTGTACTCTGAGCGGCGTCTTTCCTGAGGAACGCTCTCCATGGAGGTGTTTTTTAGCGCGAGGGTCGCGCCCAATCGTAGTCCGGAGCGGTACTTTTGGAAACTGCAGCAAAAAACTGTTAATCTCATATTAATACTAGCAAAAATTGGGCAAAGTTTCTGATCTCTCTAGAAAAAAAAACCAGATGATACCTTTGAGAGGACTCTACGATACTCCTTCCCATCATAGAAATCGAATCGTGACGCTATATAGCCATTCAGGAACACCTTGAAATACAACTATTTTAGCAAATTCTCTTGAAATTGGAAAACCTATGAAGACCTCAAACGGACATTACACATCTGATGAAGAGTTCTTAGATTGGACTTAAGACGTAGACCTTCATGTGGATATTCGACGGGGAGAACAGCGAATGGACGAGGGTCACCGTACGGGTCGCGCCCGAATTCCAACGGATATCCGAGTTGCCTAACTGTTGTGGCATAGCGCTCGACACCTGAAAACTATGGTAACCATAAGAAAGGTAGAGTATGTGACAAGAGAATCGTAATTCACCGCGCTGTGGGCGTCGCGTGCGACGTCGCGCCCGCAAATGACGATGGTTCCAGGTAGTAGATGGCGACAACAGGCAATTCAGAACCGAAAATAGTCATGAATGTCTACGATGACGGGGTCTACATGAAGTCCGGTGCTCCAGTCGACAGGTTAACACGAGTAAGGAAAACGCCGCGCCCATCGCAGCGCGCGGCGGAGCGGCAAATTACGATTCTCCTGCAAGTCTCTTAGAAAGGTATACTCAAAGGATCACAATAAATCGAAGGATTGGAATGATAAATGAGTCGTGCTATGTCGAAGGCGCGGTGTGGCAAGATGACGGATAAAAGATAAATGGATAAAGTGTTTGCTGTTGATCAATCCCCTTTTGGGATGCGACACGCATCCTACTTTCACTCAGAATCTAAGGAAGCGATCCTATAGAATAACCTGGGGAGGCCAGCTGATGTACAAGTCAGTGTACTTATCTTCCCGGACAAACCTGGTACCAATTAATAGTCCCCGGAGGGTAGAGGGCTTGCTTTTTACTGAGCGGAAACGGGATTTGATCCTGCATAGTAGGCGCACCTTTGTCACTACACCCCCTCCGCCTCTAAAGATGACGGATATAGCGCCTGAAGGCAGAGCCCCGCAGGCGCTGTTTATCGACGGGGGCATTTTGTACTATCACTGCTTCCCTCGTTCCGGTTTGCAAATCTCACTGGTAAAACTTGTGAACTCTTGTAAAGCTGGAGCAGGATCGTCTAGCCACCATCCCAAAACGTGTCAACTCGAGAAACGCTACCTAGATGGGTCGACACATCTATGGAAAGCAAAATGCCCCTCCGTCGATAAACTGCGCCGAGCCCGCATTCAATTATTGTTTCCACACTTTTCTTGGACATTGTAGCCCTCCCTGCGAAGTTGGAGGATGTCTGGATAATGCCGTTGAAAAATATTCCCACCCGCGACTGCGTAAGTCGTTTTCATGGTGCGCACTATTTTAAAGGCCGTATTTACCTGCTCCGACTTACGTACAAAGGACTCATACGAATTTTGTCCATATCCCCGGAGAATAATGAAATTTTGAAAAATTCCATGAGAACTGCTGCTCAAATATAAAAAAATCTATATTTTTGCTCGCTACTGCAATTATGAAAGAAATGTGGGCGATAAAGCTCCAATCTCCTCGATGCCTCTATCAACACTCCATATCCCGGGAATAGAGAGGGCGTGGCTGCACATCCCACTCTAGCACGTCGTGGGCGCAGCACTGCGCTTTGCGGGAAAGTTTCCATTTGAGACAACTATCACCCTGTTTGCTGCCCTCGCACATAATTACAAATGTCACGAAGCTGAGATATGCCATCCACCGCCCTGTTCAAACGAACGCCCTCTCCGTCTTTAGGATATGCAACGTAGACAATGGAGTCGCCGAACGGCTGAAATGCTGCACAACCCTTCTACCAAAAATCCCTTTCCATGATAAAACCATACCTTTCTGGAAGACACCAGCCGGTCTTGAACAGAGAAAAGGGTTTCTCTCGAATTCCTGTCCATAAAGTGCCGTTCCTTTCCGATAGCCATCAAGGCAGCACAATGCAATACGAATTTTTATTGGCAGCTTTGACAACGGAACGTCTGAAAATCCTCCACTAAATCTTAAATGGGGCTCATTCCGTAAGGGCGCAGACGTCGCCTCTTTGAAATCAGAAAGTACATAGTGTTTCGGGTCCGACCTGTTTTCATTGTCTCTTTCATAAAAGGCTTCAGATTTTTGGCATTTTCTCCGCGATTTCCCACCCATACTTCGTTCGACTTTTCGCTGAAGAAGTCTGAAAAGCTCATTCTTAAGATGATCCAGTGGTTTTTATAAAAAGTACTACATTCTGAAAAATCTTAAGCAAAAAAGTTCTAAAAGAGTCAACTACTCGGCCGTAAATCCCTTCATGCATGCATAGAAAGAAAATTAAAATAAAAAGTATGACATTATCCAATTATCAACCCAAAAACCCGAGAACTTTTTTGCTTGAGCTGTATCTATGAAGGTTATCCGCTGCCTTCATCACCGTTGTGACCAGGGTACAGCATCGTTGTGTGGGGGTCGTACTTTTTGGCTGGGGAGGTGGGTCGTATTTGGTCGCTATTGGGGAGTCGTATGTTCCTTTTAGATAAATTTGCTGCGTTGGGAAACTTTTGACAACCCGTCTGCTGACTTTTTGCGCGATTTTCCCTTTTCGCGTGATTTCCCCTGTGTACTATATACCCCCTCCTCCGCCCCCCCCCCCGCTCGACAGCAAAATTTTTGGGTGAAAAACTGGAAAATGGGAAATTGGTAGGTAGGTGTTGGGGAAGGGGGGGGGGTCGTACTGACACCACCATTTCACACATCACGATGCTGTACCTTGGTCATGACATCAGTTCTTGGCGTCGGCGCCAATCTAGCGCCACAACTTTCCCCACCAGAATCGGCATAAACATGCATACTAGGATTATTCGAAGTTCTGATAGCGAATGTAGGATTCCTTTTTGGGCCGCATTTGACTCCAGAATAGTGCTGGCGCTAACCCGGCGTTACCATCTTTTTCGCCAAAATTCAGCTAACGTTGCGCAATACCTTCGAAGGCATTGAAGGTATTGGGCAGGTTGCGACCTAATTTCCATCGAAGATTGAAGTGTCTACAACGAGTCCGTTCAATTTTTTCTTTATGACTTGTTGAAATTTTGAAAAGGATTTCGTGTGACTTACATGACACCCAGGAAAGTTCCCTGCTCGTCCGCACTACGTGAATCGTATGACGATCTCCACACTCGCTTTCATGATCGTCAAATCGTCCATACCCTCTGACTTGTAAGCATCGATCATCGACCAATTCTTCACCATCGCTGTCACAGAAATACTGCGGACGCTCTGAATAGGAACCGATTTTGATCAGCTCAAAGGGGCTGGGTCAGCGGACAAGCACAGTTCCTTTGGCCCTTCACGTTGTAGGCGTGTCCACGGACATAGTTGTGCGCTTGGTCGCTTGTTTGATGTCTATTTGGTGCAGTTCTCATCTTCGGAACCAGGTGCGTCAGCGTTTTCCTGCCATCTAAGCTCTTCTATACACACATTGTTCTTGCTCATTTTCCTAGACAAAGACCCGAAGAGATTCAGCGCCACGCCCACATTAACAAAGAAATGGGTGTTCACACCCCCTCAGCAACGCTGAAGACTTACCTGCATTGACATCTTTGCGTGCTAATTGGTAGCTGCTGCTGGAAATTCAAGAAAGCGTTTCGCTAACAGAAAACGAGAACGAGCTAGCCCGGCTCCCTCCCCCCTAGAAAATCGGAAAAGAAAACGTAGGTGCTGAGTAACTGAGGCAAATGACTAACAAAGAAATAGATTGAATTGGAAATTTCCATTGGTGTTAAAATAATCGGAATGACAGGCGGAGTGTCGGAAAGCACAAGAAGCTCCCATTGAGTGCCTGGTCTTATCAGCTGGCGCCTGCCCTTCTGCCGCTTGTGCCCCCCCCCCTCACGCACCCCTCGCGTCGCCTCCAGCCGTTCCAATAGTGTCCGATTTCTTTGAAAAACTGAGGGCCACAGACAGAATAGGCGGCCATTCTCTCACTTCTTCACAACTACCCTCTGAGTCATCGCAAGAGAAGCACTTGGTCCGAAAAGAAGGGGTCAAGTTTCAATTGGAATTGTTGCGCTAGCTCGATATACGCTCCTTGTCACATTGCATGCCGCTGCCCGTTTCCAATCGGTTCAGGTTGTTCCAAAACGATTCTGCCACCATTTGCGACGGCATTCCTCTCTTCAATCAAGATTTTTTTAACGGATAATTAGAAGCTAACAGGCACCTGAGAACTTGTAATGGTAGCGGAGAAGGGTGATGTGTGAAAGGCAGTAATTAGCATTCGTATGACGACCCTCACTTTGGCTAAGGCAATACTAATGTCTTCACCACAAACAAAAACACCGCTCCCCGCGCTCAACCCTCTCAACAACTCGTACGCCGCAAAAAAATACTAGATAGTCCTACGGCCGTAAACGCACATATCGTCGCCATCATCGACCGCTCAACGGTTCTCGACAACATCAAAACCGGCAATGCATTTTCACACGCGGCCCCCACCCCCCCCACCAGATTTCAAATGCTCGTTCGGAGCTTGAAGAGCGTAACGGATAAGTTACAGAACAATTCTTACCCTTAAATTGCCTTATAAAAAACACAACTGGAGTCACGTGTATATAGAAACAACGTCAAACTAATCAATAGAAATCAATAGATGACGTAAGACTAGGTCACGCCCATTTCCGGCTCGTCGAAAGCAAACTCGTCGAGCGCTGTCTCAGAGTGCAGAAAGCAGAACATGGGCGTGGTCTTGTCTCTGCGGGCCAGAGTTGTTAATTGATCCCTCCCTTCTTCCCACAACTACCCTAACGTCCAGCGAGTTATAGTTGATAACGTCGCAATCAGTCGGGGCTGTACCTGTACCAGTAGGCAGGGCACGCCATTGTTGTGATAATCACAACAGGGGGTCGTATTTGACCTCGAGAGGAGGGGGGGTCGTAAGCGCAGGGCCCTTTCTGAAGTGAGGGTGCAGCGATACCCAGATGTCGTTCAGCTTCAATGATGAAAGACTTATCCATGTGAAGAACCCCTGAAGAGACACACAAGACAGAAGCACCTTGCCAGAAGTGGGGAACGAGCGTGACCTCTGCGTGAAAGCGCTATGCATGGCGCATTACAGAGGTGATGCCAATCGGCGCCCAATTAACTATTGCGTGATACCCTTGGCGAAGAAATGTTTTCAGAAGCATGCCAACGTCTTCCAACAACCCGGAAGTTTATGTCGTCAGTGGGGTGGGTTTCGTGTTGTTCAGAAGGGGTTGCGTAATGATCACAACGGGGGATTTTTTCAAATAGCAGGCCTAGGAATAAAATGAAAATCTTGCTGGAAAGTGAAAACCTTAGAAATTTAATCTGTGCTTTTTTGTTTTACAAATGGCCTTGCATGAAGATTGTTATGGCAGTTCAAAGCGTAAGGACTTGTAAATGACCCCAAAAAATCACAACGGGATCACAACGAGAGAGTCCCTTAAAATGAGATTTTTTGAAGTTGCTCAAACCAGGTGATAAGTGTCAAGCTAGGGATTTACAGCCCCTTTCAAAAGCTCCACTCTTAAAGGTTATGGATGTTCAAGAGAAGAGAACCTTCAGAGTGCTTGGCTTGAGACTGCATCTGAACCGTGAAATAGCTCGCTCAATACCACAGCACAAAGCGCGCTCACCTTTGAATGACCGCGAACAATTAATATTCAAGTGCTGGCACTTGCATTTTCCCGCATTTTCTTTCTTTCCTTGTGTCTTTTAATGCTCATTTATAATTTATTACTTTTGTTAATTTATTTATGATTTATTATGGCTCATTTTCTTCGTGTTCTCATATTTATCCTTGATTAACGTCGCGTCTTTTTTGTCGTTTATTTTCGCAGATCTTCCATTTTTCGGTGTTTGTTTGTCCGCTGCTGATCTGGTCCGCTGCTACCAGATTAGCCCAGGGCACATCGTCCCCAACAGGGTGGTCGTATTCGGCCGCCAGGAGAGGGAGGGGGTCGTATTTGGGCTGAGAAAAATTTATTTTGATAGTTGATTTTTCTCGCTTCACGGACGTTACGTTGTAAAAGGGGGCCGTTTGCTTGGCTCAATGTCGCTGAGAGGGACGGGGGGGCGTATTTACTCTTTGGCCTTTTGGCGAGTGGTGTTTGGCTTTCGATGAGATTTTCTCTCGTTCTCTCGCAGTACCTATACTTCGGGAATTCTTCGGAAAGAAAGAGGGGGGGGCGCGGAAGTCGCGGGAAAATCCGAGAATTGGAAGAAAGGGGGGTAGCGTATTCACCTGTGCTATTTACCCCCTCCCCCCGCCTCGGCCTCGATTCGATGAGGAGGGACAAATGGCTGGAGTGGAGGCGGGGGGGGGGGCGTAACCCACGCCCCCCCCAAAAAAAAAGGGGAGGTCGTACGGACTCGACTAAAATCCCCAGCCAATGATGTGCTCTGGATTAGCCGCGGACAAGGAAAGGCGTCGTATCGAGACCCTTTTTAGAGGGAGGGGGGTCGGATTTAGCAGAAATTTATCACAACGCGATGGCGTGCCCTGCCACTAGGGGCGGAGAGAGTTCGCCCCGGGTGCCTTGCTCGACCAATAGGGGTTGGTTAGTGATTGAATTTGGAACGGAACAATCAGAGGTGAAAACAGCGGGTGTGGGCTCATTCCTTTTTGAAACCGCTCAGACAGATTGCCACGACAATAACTGTAACTGTACATCTCAACTCTTTAGTGAAAAATTTAGTTTTAGAGAATGCTTTAATGCCCATTCCCTAGCATCGACTGTATGAATACCTTCAAAAATAGGCATCAAGAAGTCATCCAAAATTTAAAAAAAACTGTCGGAAAAAAGAATTAAAATAGGCGCTAACATAGTTGGTTGGGGGGAGGAGGTCACTTGCCTCCGTATCCCTTCACATAATCAAGGCTTAGGCTTACTAGAGACCAAGGCACCTCGTACACTATGAATCCCCAGACGGGGTAGGGGCAGGTCGTGAATACTTGGCTGCTCAAAGGAGGAGTCGTAGTTGCTTCAAAGAAAAAAGAGAAACAAATTCTGACAGTGTTTTTTCCTGCGAGATTTGAAATTCACTAGTTGCCTGATACTCCTCCCCCCTCGGCGGCAAAATTCTGGGGAGAAAACTAGAAAACTTT